TCAAATAATCATTTAAATGAACCTGGTCTTGAGAACCCTGTCCCACTTTTGCCTCCAGCTGAGCCCTGGCCAGAGTGAAGTCTCTCCCCTCGCGCTGCAGTGTCCCACAGACACCCACCCAGCCAGGTCCCAGGGCAGCTCCTTCAGGCCTTGGTCCTGCCCCACTCAGCCCTGCCCCGCTTGGCCCAGGGTGGTGCTGAAGGAAGTGGAAGGAAGGAAGCCGCAACCCTGGGCTGGACGCCACACACCCTACTCCTCCCGCTCACCCCAGACAGAGGCTCCGTGGCTCCCTCCAGTTTGGACCCTGGGATGACCACCCCAGCTGTGTGACCTTAGGAAATCACCGTGCTCCCAAGGGCTCAGTCTGCTCATTCTTCAGATGGAGGGTACGATGGCATCTCCATCAGGACAGCCTCAGAGGAGAACAATAAGATAGCAAAACACATACCTGCCGTCCCAGCGCTCTGAGAGGCTGAGGCAGGAGGACTGCAAGTTTAAGCCCAGCCTGGGCAATTTAGAGACTTAGCGAGGTCCTGTCTCAAAATAAAACAAGGGCTGGGGATGGGGAACAGCCAGCTACCCTTTTCTCTGACCCTCACAGCCCCGTTAGGGTTAAGCACCTCCCTTTGCAGGTCACATCGTGAAGCGTCTCTGGGGTTAAGGGCCACCGGCCCATGGCTGGGAGAGGAGGAGGTGGGGAATCACACGTGGGCCCAAAGCCCAGGCTACGGTAGCCCGTGGGGGGTGTGATGCCGACTCTGTCCCGGTCCCCTCGGCCCTGCCTCCTGGCCGTCCCTGTGTCCTGCGGAGGATGGAGTCTTCTGAATGAGGACGGGATTGCTGCCACTGTTCAATGAGCTAATGGTGAAATTTGAAACGCAACGGCTGGAGGCAGATGGGGAAGAAGATGTGACTCACAGGCAGGAAGATCAGTGAATGGGGAGGACTCACCCTGCTGTAATCGGAGGAAATGCCGGAGTGGCACATCCTCCTTGGAGCAGGGGGCAGTGCGGTGTCCCCCTGCTCAGCGGCATGGGAGTGAGGGGAGCTCCTGGGCTTAGCTAAGACAGGCTGGAGCCCCGCTGGGACCAGACAGGGAGGACTTGTGACCTCAGGGCTCCTCTGAGCAGAGAACTGCTAGGACTTGCAGTAAAATAGGTGCTCTAAACACACCCAGAAGCTTCCTCTGTTGGGGCAGAAAGGAGACAATTTCTGGTCCCTCGAGAAGAGGGGATGAAGTCTCATGCTGCCCACTGGTCCTGAAGGGTGACTGGGTTGGTTTCAGTTTCACAAGTGTTGGCTCCGATTGCTGGCATGGGGAAGGAGCTAGAATCCTGGCAATGCTCCCCCGACCGAGGTCCCAGCTCGTGTGTGTGTGTGTGTGTGTGTGTGTGTGTGTGTGTGTGTGTGTGTGTAGCAGCTGTGTGCTGGGCCTTTCCCCACGTGGTCTCTCCCATGTCATTACACGGGCTCATTGAGCTGGTATTAGGACCGCTGTGCAGGACAGTAACTCGTCCCAGGTCACACAGCTGGCATGAGGCAGATCCGGGTGTCCATCCTGGGTCCTGCCCCCACCTCCCTGCTCTGCCTCCAGCTCTGTCTTCATTTGGGAAGAAATGGGATTGGAGGAGAAGGGCAGAGAGAGTAAGCGTGTCATGGGAGGGCGTCGATGGGCCGTGAGCAGACCCTGTGCCTCCGAACTCACTGCAGACACACTTTGGGGTACAGAAGCAAGAAGGCAGGAGCAAGCTCCTGTAGGTTTTGGTTTACATTTCCGATTCCCAAATCAACAGCTTCCTGCTCTAATCGGAAGTAATAGCGAATAATGACACTGGATAGTGGAAAAACCCAGGTGCAGGAGGTAAACGGGTGCCTATGGTGCTCTGCTGAGCTTCGTGCTTCTTGCCGGGCAGCTGGTTTCCTTTAGGACACTTTGCGCCAGTTCTATAACTTCTAGCTATTTTTAAGACTTAGTCATAGCTAAGGGTGGGGGTGCACACCTGTAATCCCAGCACTTGGGTAGGCTGAGGCAGGAAGATGGTGAGTTTTCCACTAGTCTGGACTACACAGGAAGTTCAAGGCCAGCCTGGACTGCACAGCGAGACCCTATCTCAAAAATATCATAAATTAAACAAACAAAAACCTAAACTGTGTACATTTTAAATCTCATGTGAACCTCTGTGCTGTCCTCTAGGTTATAATATATGTATGTCCATTTACAAGTGTGCAGGTGGAGGTGGCGTGTGTGTGTGTATGTGTGTGTGTGTGTGTGTGCGCGCGCACATGTGTGTTCTTGAGATCATAGAAGATACAGCTCTGGCTCAAACTCTCCACTGACTTCTGTCAGCAGTGGGAATGGACTTCACAGCTTTGGCCCCCAGTGCCCTAGATTTGGGGACAGACGTGGACACTGGAGAACGCAGGTCCTTGCCACGGTGGGTAGCACCCCCTGTCCCCTGCTGCCATCTCCACTGATGCTTTTTGCATGTACCCTGGGACTGTCAAACCCGGCTGTGCACACTGCAAATGCACCAGCTTCGGGTCACGAGGCAGGGGAGGAGGCCACAGGCCCCCCTGGCCTTCTAGAAAGACCAAAGGACATAAGGCCCTGGGCCTCTGTCCAGCGTCACTTACCAGTAAATGCTGTCCCAGCAGCGTGTATCTCCGGTCTTTGGGCTTGGGAAGATCTGACCCCAAGATTCAGATCTGCTTTGAGATGCTCTGGAGATTTATTAACTTTGTCCCTTCAGAGGGAAGGTGGGTGGGAAGAGCCTCGGATCCCCAGCTCCCTGTTCCTGCGGTCCTGTCGTTGTCATTCCTCAGCCCATCGCATGAGGGCACGGCAGACACATTATCTCCGTGATGCCTCAGACCCCACGGCAGGGCAACCATCGTCATTTTGCAGGTAGGGAAACCAAGGCTCACAGGCAGAAAGTGACTTGTCCACAGTCACGTGGGCACTGTCTTAGTAACTTTTCTCATTGCTGAGACAAAATACCCGCACCCAAAGATAAAGGAAGAGAGGTTTATTTCAGTTCACAGTTTGTGGAGGGTTCAGTCCATAGTCAGCTGGCTCCAGGGGAGGGCTGCATGGCAAAGGGGCCTCGAAGAGGAGAAACAGTCCATGGCATGGCAGGCAAGAGGCAGTGAGCCTTCCTGCTTTCTGACCCTTTGTATTCTATCCAGGCTGCAATCCTATTGGTTGGTGCCACCAACACCCAGGATGGCTCTTCTGTCATCAGCAAATCCATGCAGTGGATTTACTATGCAAATCCAATCAGTGGAATGGTCCATTTGTCACACACCCATGATCCAATATTACACAGCCATGATCCTATCCCCTCAAAAGCCTCAGCTGGGAGCACATGAGGCTTTGGGGAACATTTGCTGTGTGCCCAGTAGGAGCCCCTCTGCAATCTGTGCATGGTGAGTACAACAAAGCTTTCAGAACAGGGCCAGGAGCAAATGACTATTGTCATTATGATGCTCCTCCTGTTGGGCTCCTGTTCCTCTGGGGTGCAGACTGGCCTGGCAGCTCTCAGGTTATTCGTAGCAGGCAGGAGCTCGTGTTGGATCAGACGGACACTCACCACAGCTGGCACTGAGAGAGCGCGTCCTAGTGGCAGGGGTTGGTTGGTTGGTTGGTAGGTGGGCTGGGGGTTGAGAGTTGGCTCTGCTGTCATCTTTGCTTATAGGCTTTGTCTTGTGGTCCTGAAGGCTTCAAGGCGGGTGGGTGGGGCTCTTCTGGGAAGCGTTGGACTCCCCATCCTTCCCAGCAATGTTATCCTCCACCTTGCTGTTTTTGAGTGAGTCTGTATTGTTCTGAGCACCTACTATGTGCCTGGCCTTTTAACTCATTTCCTATTTACCTCAAGAATCCTCACCAGCTTCATTTACCCCAAGGTAACTCATGGATTATAGTCTTAAACTTACCTCCAAAGTTGCCCATGAATTATTTCACTTTCATTATTATTTTTGTATCACTCTAGTATATCAATAATCTTTGGAAACAAAGGATAACATTCTATTTGCAGCCTTCTGTTTCTAGTAGTGATATTTCCATTCACAAAAGACAATAATTCTCCATCACTTTGAAATTTATCCCATGAAAAAAGGTATTAAATAGTGACCATCCCATATATTTCTGTTACACTGGGACTGGAGACTAGTTCTGCTTAGAAATGCCTTCAAGAACAGTTTTTATATTTTATTTTCATATTGAAAGCCAGTCAAGTGTGCTTCAGCCTCACAAAGTGTGTCTATGTAAAATCAAACCAGGGCAGGCAGCGAGCGGCACCTTTTTCTCTCAACAGGAGATGGTAGTGGCGACACTTCTGAAGGACGGAAGTGACGTCAGCATGGCGTGCCAGCGCCCTTTTCCGGCCCCCTTCTCACGAGTGCATGAAGCTGGAGATGCTGGGAAAACACGGATGGTGCTCGGTCCCACCGGGTCCTGCTCAGTAGTGGCCAAGGCTGTTTCTCCTGCGGGGAGACGGGGACGTGTTGGATTCTGCCAGAGCCACTTCAGTTGCACCTACATGACAGCCACACACGTTCTTTTTTTTTGTTCCGGCCCCCCCCTCCCCCCCAGTACCGGGAATCGAACTCACGACCTTACGCTTGCCAGGCAGGCGCATTGCCGCTGAGCTAAATCCCCAGCCCCGCCACACACGTTCTTTCCTTGCTCCCTGACCCGCGTCCCCTCGACTCCCCAACCTCCACTTCCGGTACCCCATTCCATCTCCGCATGCTCAGCCCAGAGCCCCGCAGTGACCCTCTGCTCCCCATTTCTTTTACACCCCACATCCAATCCCTTAGGAAATCCCACGTTCAGAGTCACTCACTTCTTTGAGCCATGTGCGGTGAGTGGTATGTGCAGGTAGTCCCAGCTGCTCAGGAGGCTGAGGAAGGCTGATTGCTTGAGCCCAGGAGTTTGAGGCCAGCCTTGGCAGCATAGCAACTGTCTCTCTCCCTTCCTCCCCCCTCCCCCCCTCTGTCTCCCTCTCCCTCCCTTCCCCTCCCCTCCCTCCTTTCTCCTCCCTCTTTCTCTCAACAATCAATCAAACAGAAGTTGATGGGTTCTTGCCACCTGCACCGGTTCATTTCAACCTGCTCTTCCTGGCTCATCTTGTTATCCTCCTAGCTGATCTCGCTGCTCCAACCCTATTCCATTCCTAGCTCCCCACCCATTCCCAGCTCAGCACATGACCCCCGTCTGCATCACCCTGGGCTGTGACTCCCCATTTCACTCGGGACTAAAGCCAAGTGTTAGGGCCTCCTACCTCATGGCTCTCTCTGCACATTGCTCAGGCACAGGTTACCACATGAGGCTCTTTTCTATCCAGGGCCTTTGCACTGGCTCCCTCCCCACTTCCAGGTAGGCACTTGGCTCCCTTTGAATCTGTTCAATAGGCTTCCTCTTCCATGACCACCACACCCCAACCCAAATATCTCTCTCACCCTGCTGCTTTCTGATTTCCTTACTTACAAATTAACCCAAGTGTCTGCTTTTGGAGAGTTTACTACTGAAGACTGATGCTTCTCATGCTGAGCCCTTGGCCTGTTCTGTTGCCCCACATGTCACAAGCTTGGGGGCCCTGCCTTGCACACCATGGAGATTCGTGAGTCAGTCCTGGTAAGTCTCCTGTGGTCCTTGATTTCTCCCTGGCACTGGGGAGAAGACACCATTGGCTCCTTCCACTCTAATAGTATTGTTCAAGTATTTGGAAAACTGGATCCAGAGGAGGAGATGTGGACCTGACCCTGCTTTCCAAGCTCTTCTTGTTTTCAACTTTCTGCTCCCATAATGGCAGAGCCTTTTAGCCTATAGCTCCATTCTACCACAGGACCTTTGCACATGCTGTGCTTTTTTCTGCCTCATGGGCTCTTGCCCATCATTCAAAGTCCTGGTTAGGTGTCATCTCCTCCCTGGGGCCCTCTGTGACACTTCCACCTGCCTCAGTCCTGGAAATGCGTAGTCCCTTCCTCCCTTTCCCTGGGTGACTTCTCTGCAGTCTCTCAGTATGCGTATTCTGTTGTCTTGCCAGGGTTCAACTTATGTCCATCAGACCTTGAGCTCCTTGAGGGTGGAACTGGGCTCCTGCCCTGCATCCTGAGCAGGCCCCAGTGCTGGGGTGTGGCGTTGTCCAGCCAGGTGTGTTTGTTGGGGATGGCAGAATGCATCTGACATGCGCCAGAAGAAGACAAGGATTGCTCTGAAGACCCTTCCAAGGTCACTGGCTGGCAGGGAGTAAGCGCGGTTATGTGATGTGATCATTTATTTATATTCTATTTCCAAACAGGATCCACGGCGGCGGGGCATGCAAGGCTCGCAGCGGGGGAAGCAGAGCCCGTGTCTTCAGCGCCTGCTCCTCTCCCTGTCGCCTCCTCCTCCACGCATCAACGCACCTGGCCCCACCCTCCCTGCGATGGCGCCGGACCTCCCCAGCTCTGTGCCCCTGCACCCAGGGCCTCAGAGACCACCTGTGCTCCGTCTCTTCTTCCACTCAGCCGCCCTTGGCCATGGCACCAGCTCCTCTGGGACACTGAATACTGCACGGACGCTCAGACCTAAACCACTCATGCTCCAGGGACCAGAGCCCAGGGCCAGGCAAGGGGCTCTGCACCTTCCTCACCACCAGGGCACTTCCTGTCACGCCCCCAGGCTCGTCCCCCGCCTCTCTGAGCAACCCTTGCTTCCTCCGCCTGAGGGGAACGTGCCATCACCCTGAGCCTGCTGTGTGGCTTCTTGAGGTGGGGACACACAACAGGGCTTCCTGTGGGCAGTGCTGGCTTCTGCGACCTGCTGGCCTGCGGCTCCCAGGGGTGGGAGGCAACTGGAAGGAGGTGGAGCCTGGCATCACCTGTAGGTGTGTCCTCAGACGGCCTTGCTGCTGGGGACTGGACGGGGCCTCCGGGGCGGGGACAGCCAGAGGACTGGATCCTCCACTCGCGTCCTGGCCACAGCAGGAGCACAAGCCCGGAGATTTGACACGCCTCTCCTGGCTGTGCTCACAGCCTGCGGGCAGAGCTTGGCCAGCAGCACGCCAGCAGACAGGCGTCCCTGACTTCGGAAGCCAGGCAGGCTGGACTTTGTCATCCCCAAAGGAAAGGAGGCTGGCGCTGAGGGAGGGGGAGCGCCTCGCGTGCTCAGGGCCGCTGTGCAGCCCAGACCGTTACCTCCGCCACGGCCGGAGGAGGGCAGGGCCCTGCCCCCTTGCGCAGGGAAGGAAGCAGCACGCAGGGAATGTCGGGCCTGAGTCTCAATCAGAGCACACGAGAAAGGTGGCAGGGAGGGCACCCCCCAAATGCCCAGCAGGTCCTTGTTGAGCTGTCACAGGACCGGTGTTGTCACCACACCCAGGGCCACGTGACAGGAAGGAGGGGGCGGGGACAGGGAACTGGAGCTCCTGGGCTTGTGATGCAGAGTCCAGCAGCTACCAGAGAAGGCAGGAGTACGCGCCACTGTGACCTCTTCCAGACTCACTTTTCTCATCTGTCAAATGGGCAGATCATACTGATCCCCCAGGATCCAAGAAAGGGCTTCCGAAAGTGTAAAGACTGAAGCGTTTTCTTCATATAAGCCACTATCTTATGTAGATGCTCCTTTGAGTCCCCTCCTATATATCCTGGTCTTCTGCTGCCTTTTTCTCCTAGGTGAGTCAGCCCATCTCTAGGCCTCTGCCTTTAGGTTCCTCTCTTCAGCCCTCTGGATGTCTTTCCAGAGGGGAATGGATGTTCTTCCATTCCTTCATCACATTGTGTCTTTTCCTGCCCCGGGGCCCTTGCACATGCTCTGTCTTCTACCTTAGATTGCAACATCCTCTTTTCCTTCCCCTGGGCACACCTGCTTCCCCTTGAGGCTGCAACAGAAATTTCATTTCCTCGAAGGGGCGTCTTTCTGATTCTTCCATCTAAATTAGCCTCCATGTTCTTTCCCTTTGGTGGGGCTGCTTCCTTCACCGTATGCAATTCCTCACCGAAATTTTACTTGCTTCTTCCTATTTGAGTCCATTTTTCTCCTACAGTGGGAGCTTCCTGAGGACAGGCACTGTGTTTGTTCTGCCTTCTTAACGTCTCCATCTTCAGGAGTGCCTGACACAGGAAGGACACCCAGCACCCAGCTAGCGAGGGAAGGTGTCTGTTGCTGTCTCCCCAGGGTGTCTCCTCTTGCTGCTCCTGTCCCTCACTGGGAAATACCAGAAGCAGAGGACGCCATCTGTGTCAGTCCGCTCTAGAGCTCTGTTCTAGGGCTCTGTTCACACCCCAGCTCTCTGTTAAGTCTTGTGACATTTATGCCTCAGTTTCTTCCTTTGTGAAATGGGAGCTTTGGGGCTGCCCCAGGGGCTTGGAAAGTCAGATGTGTGAAGTATGCAAATGCCTCCCACAGTGAGCACCCCTGAAAAGGCTGCTCCGCTCCCCTTCTGCATGTGTCCTTGACCCATCTTCAGAGAGGATGCTGAGGACCAGAGATGTTGGGTGGTTGGTTTGCCCAAGAACACGGGGGCAGAGCTGGGCACAAGATGGGGTCTTCCATTCCGTATGAGACCAATGATGGGGACTGTGCCATGGCCCAGAATTATCTCAAGGGCCCAAAGGGGTGCAAGGAGGTGCAGGCCTCTTAAACCAGCCCTTTGCTTCCCGAGGAGCAGCTGCTCTGTCTCCCTTGCCCTCTGTCTGTCCCTGGTCCGCACTGAGCAGCTTCCCCGAGAGGTCGCTGTGGCCACCTCTGCAGAGCCAGGGCCCCAGAAGACTAGGATTGCTGGGGACACCGCTTGCTCACTGACCTATATTAATGATAAGTGCTATTCGCCCTCCCAGTGCCCTCCCGGCCAGCACATAACCCCACCCTGCACAGTTGCAAAACCAAAATCACACCTGCACCCCACCCCACCCCAGCCACCACCCTCCGGCGTGCAAGTCTGCTCCGGAGTGATGGATGGCGCTCAGCAAGCAGGGCCCAAGGCCCGGTTTGCGGAAGGGAAATGGCCAAGAGAGCAGACAGAAGGGAGCGGGGAGGGAGGGCAGAGGAGGGAGGCGGCGGCTGGGGCGTGGCAAGGGGTGGGGGACAAGGTGAGCAGCGCAGGAAGAGGAGGGAGAGAAAATGAGCCGAGAGCAGGGGACAGAGCGCGGCCAGGGAGACGCAAATGCTGGAAAGCACGAGAGGATGTCTGTGGAGAGCAATAAGCAGAGAAGCCAAGAGCATCCTGGGAGGAAATGGTGAGAAGGGAAGAGCAGGGCGGAGGGGGCAACACAGACGAAGAGCAGATAAAGCGGACCAGATAGGCCTGGGCGGCTGGCTGAGAGCAGCGGAAGGCCTGCCAGCCGGGACGAAGGGTGTGGCCGGTGAGGTGGACAGCGCAGGGGGCCCAGGGCCTTTGACAGGATCAGAACGGGCTCCCCGGGAAGTGCCTGGTGGGGTCGCCCTGGACCCGGAGGCCAGGCTCCGCTGTGGCCTTCCCCTGACCTCACGCCAGCCCCGCTGCAGTGTCACCTCCGGCGCAGACTGTCCTGCAAGGCCAAGGCCAAGGTCAAAGCCCTGACTCAGTCTGCCCCTCCTGCAACCTGCCACCCCAAGGAGCTTCAGCAGCCGAGGCTGGGTCTGGGGATTTGGAGTCTCTCCTGGGTCCATGCTGGACTTTGTCTCCAAATGTGTCGTAGAAACTCAGCATCCTCAGGGTAACCCCTGCCCTCGACGCCCTGTCACTTACAATTTGGCAAGGCCAGCAGAGCACATGCCAGCGCCAGGACTCCTTGGGTCCCTGCAGTTGCCCTTTTTTCCTCCCCTTTGCTTCCTTCCCTCTCTTTGCCCTTATTAACCCCGAAGTCAGTGAGTGCGGAGCCACAGCAATCACTTATGGTGATTTTTGATTTAGAGACGGTCTCACTGTGTAGCCTAGAGTGGCCTTGAACTTTCTATGCTCCTGCCTCCTGCCTCAGCCTCCCAAGGGCTGGGATTACAGGTATGTGCCATTACTCCTGGCTTGTCGTGATTATTATCACCACGGGGAGGGTGTGACTGGACTCAGCTCTGTGGTTCTTTCTGGGGAATCACACATTCAGTAGTATCCTTAGGCCTCACAAAGCCATGCAGGTTCAAGAGAAGGGGACATAGATCCTACTTCTTCTGGCACAGTCCCTGGCAAGGTATGTGCATGTGTGCACACACCTCTGTGTGTGTGTGTGTGTGTGTGTGTGTGTGTGTGTGAGTGATCATGAGTGTGATCTTTGGGAAACACTACCTGCCGCAGTTTGCTCTCAGTCTCCGAGATAAACAGTGATTTGCATCCTCCCTGGTTGTGAATGGATTGCCCCTCCCATCAGGGGTTGCAGTTTTAACCACCAGTCCCTGAGGGTGCAGCTATATCTGGACATAGGGTCTCTACATAGGTGTCTAAGTGGCATGGGGTCATTATCGTGGGTCCCGACTCAATCTGACTGGCATCCTTCCAAGAAGAGGAGATGATACAGGCATACACAGAGGGGAGACGACATGAAGACGGGAGGGAACACCGTCTGCATGCCCAGGAAAGAGGCTCAGAAGAAGCCAACCCTGCCACACCTTCATCGCAGACTTCTGACCTCCAGAATGGCGGAGAGCTCATTCCTGGTGGTTGAGCTGCTCAGTCTGTGGGATTTCCTAGTGGCGGCCCTAGTTGTGTAGTACATGGCCCTGTATGTAAAGTGCTGTTATATGCATCTGTTCCTGTCCCCCAAGGGCTTTCTTTAAGGCATCAGCTCAAAGCCTGGGATCTTGTCATCGGCCTCAGGTGTGGATGCGTTCCCTTAATGCGAGTCCCTGGGCACAGATCTTTGGGTGCCATTCCACCAAGTGGGAAGACCTATAAGCCGAAGAACTGAGTCATCTCCCCTCCCATGCCGAGCAATATGGGGTAGGCGCAGGAGAACTGCCACAGTCACCCCCTAATTGAAAGGAGAAACAGGAGGCACAGAGCAGCCTCTGGTCTAGGGCATTTCTGAGCACCACCTGGGCACACGTTCTCGACTGGTGCTCATGCCAGCTGCCTGAGAATGATTCGCTGTGGCTCATGACCCTACCCTCTGGGCTCTTGGTTCTGTCATCTGAATCACCCTGGGGTTTCCATAGGTGACCAGTGGCTGGGCAGAATGGCACACATCTGTAACCCAGCGCTAAGGGAAGCTGAGACAGGAGAAGGCTGAGGCTTGGGCAACTTAGCAACTTAACGAGATACTGTCTCAAAAATAAAAAAGTAAACAAATACAGGGCTAAGGGTGTAGCTCAGTGCAACGCCCCTGGACTCAGTCCCCAGTGCCATAAATATACACGTGTGTGCACACACGTACACACACACACACAAAGAGAGAAATACCCAGTGTTTACAGCTGAACAGTTTCTCTCAACTTTCTTCCCAGAGAGGTTTGAAAGTATGAAAGCCTTCCTTTCAATCTGGTTCTCTCCATCCTTTTCATTCAAAGCCTTTAAAAGCTGTGTGGGCTTCTTATGAGTCAGTTTATAAATCTCTTCCTTCAGACAAAGGCTACACTCCCAAATCTCTTTTTTATCTTAGGCTCCTGGCAAGTCTACCCTTAAGATTCTTAAAAGCTCTATGTGTAAAAGAAAAGGGGTTCCAGCTTTTGCTCAGAAGGCTTGGTCTCTTTGAAAGAGTCCGGGAGGCACCACTCAAATCTTTCTAAGGTCTTATTAAAGGGCCTTATCATCACACCCTTAGGTTAACTGTTTTCCTAGTACTGACCCTGGCTTTGATATATGCCTAGGAGTCATTTCTTATTTTAAGAATTTGTTGTCGTGAAGAAGGTTTTCAAACCCAAGGAAATTTAGCTCCTTCATATTTAATACTTTGTTCTCTGGCTTCATAATGACAGAACCAGGACTTGAACCCAGGACCATCTTGTCCTCCAAGTTGATGCCTTGCTCTGTGGCCTTCCTGCACAGTGAGAGCTAGCTGGGCCCTCAGGAAGTGCAGAGAGGAGGACAGGATGGGAGAGGTGGGAGAGTGAGGGGCATCCAGGCAGGGGGTGCAGCAGGGACAAGGTCTAGAAACTGGGGGGGAATGCCAGGTGTGTAAGGGGACAGCAAGACAACTGGTGAGCAGCACATTTCTACCCATTTCTCCCTTGTTTTCATTTCCAGTGACCACATTTTATGTCTCTCCTCTGTGACGTCTTTCTCATTAGTTAGGTGATCCTATCTATTATCAGAACAATCCCAAATTTCAACGTTTTAACACAACAGGAGTTTATTTCTCAGTGAGGACACAAATGAATGAAAGTTGGTCAGGGCTAGGCCCATGGGTTTTGCTGCACAAAGTCCTATAGTGTCCCAGTGTCCTTCCACTCAGTGGCTCCACCATCCACTAGAAAGGAGGTTGGCAACCTATAACCTGTTTCTATTTACTTATTGAGACAGGGTCTTTCCTACGTAGTTCCAACTGGCCTTGAACTCATTATGTAGCCCAGGCTGGCCTCACTCTCATGATGATCCTCCTGCATCAGCCTCCCAAGTGCTAGGATCATAGGCTTGCCTCTACACCCAGTTTGAACCTGTTTTTATAAATAAAGTTTTATTGAAACGCAGCCGTGCCCATTCACTTACGTTGTGTCAATGGTTGCTTCAGCACTATAGTGAAGAAACTAATTAGGGGCCGGGGGTTTAGCTCAGTGATGCAGTACCTGCCTGGCAAGCGTGAGGTCCTGAGTTCAATTCCAGGTACCCCCTCCCCCCCCAAAAAAAGTTGATTAGTCATGATAGATTGTATGTTATGATTTGTGTCTAGATTTCCTAGGATTTTTTTCAGAGGTGGCTGAATCTACAGTGATTGATTCATAGTGCAATACTGGGATTAAGAGTGGGTGATTACTGGATCGGTCCACTGATTGGATTGGCACCACCCTAATCCCAGTAGACTGGATATGATATAAGGGACAGCAAGAGGCTTGTCTCTCTCGCTTGTTGCTTTTGCTGTCTTCTGCTGCCATGAACTGTTGCCCCTCTGCCGTGTTCCACACTGGCTTGGAGCCAGCTGCTTATGGACTGAAACCTGTGCAAACTATGAGCTAAATAAACCTTATCCCCTTTTAACTTTGTGTGTTGGGTATTTTGCATTAGCAGTGAGAAAAGTAGCTAAGATGGAATTTGGTACCAGAGAAGCGGGGTCATTGTTGTGACTATACCTGACCATGTGGTTCAGGAGCCTTTGGGCTGTGGGAAGAGTTTGGAAAGGTTTGGTGATGCCAGCTGAAAAAGTACAGCTAGAATGCCTTAGGCTGTTCTATATGGGAGATTTTGGTCAGAGCTCGTAAATCAGAAGGCTGATGGAGATCTTGTCAGAAAAGACCAGGCTTGGGAGGTTTCTGCTGGGAAGAAGGACTATATTGGCTGTTGGACTTCAGACGATGTGTGTTATGGCTTGGCAGAAACTTCCTCTGCATTTTGCTCATGTCCAGAGATTTTGCCTAAGACTAAGATTAAGAGGGGGTGGACTAATTAATCTGGCAGAAGAAATTTCAAGGCAATCAAATGTTGAGGCAGCAGCATGGCTACTGTTGGGGGCTTTTAGCCAAATTTATGTTGAGAATCAACAGAAAGAGCCCAGCAGTATGATTTAAAACATTGTAAGTTTGACCAGAAAGGATGCTCCAGTAAAGCTGTGGACTACAAAGATAGAGCAGAGGAGATCTTGATTGCTTAGAAGAAACAAGAGAATAGAAAAGATAGCCTGAGAACACCACAAGAAGTACAAGGACTCCACCCTTTGCAGCTTCAAAATTGCAAAAGCGAAAGTCTTTGCTTTGAGAAGAAAGCCAAAGAACACCACATTCCAGATTTGGTGGCAGCCTAGAGAATTTGTTCCTCAGGATTGGATTCAGAAGGTTCAGGTACTCAAGCCAAAAGAGAGGGAAACCTGGCTACTGCTCCAGCTGGCAGCAGACTTTGGCATCATCCATGTGGTGCGGGTTTTAGATGCATGCAGAATGGAAGAGTTGTGGGGTCAGGAAAGCTTCCACACAGATTTCAGAAGGCCTGAGAGGCCAGGTAGTGTGTCCCCTAGAGGGTAGTACATGAAGTTGTGAGTGTGAAGCCAAAGGTGCAGTGGAAACCTCAGAAGTTTGGAGAAGCCAGAAACATGGATCATCTGAGGAAAACTTCAAGGAGGAAGCAGAGTAGGCCCAAGAGAGAAGCCGTGGGAGCTACAACTACCAGAAATGCGGTAGTGGCAGAGCCATCCAAGCCCTTTGAAGTTCACATCTTGCCACAGGTTGCCTTGGATGAAACCTGTGCAAACTATGAGCTAAATAAACCTTTCCCCCTTTGATTTTGTGTGTTGGGTATTTTATCTAAGCAATGAGAAAAGTAACTAAGACACTGTGTGGACCAGAAAATTTAAAATATCTTCCCTCTGGACAAATATTTTTTGTCCAGAAAAAGATTGCTGACCCTGAATGTGTGGCTCGGTAGGCCTGTGGAGAGTATGGAGGCTGTGGGGGAAGATTCTATGGGCCAGACAGGAAATGCTGTGCATCATTTTCTGCCATATTCCATTGGCCACAGCTAGTCACATGACTCCAGCAAACTATAAGGAAGCTGGGAAATGTAGTCTTCCTGGGTCCTCAGGAAGGAACAGAACAGGTCTGAGGGCACACATAGCCTTGTCTCTCTATACCTCTCTTCCTGAACTTTGCTTCTCTGCTTCCAGGTCCTAGTCTCTGCCATACTTCCTGCACCAATGTCTCCAGGGCATGCAGGGTTCCTCAAGAGCACAGACTGTGCCTGTGAAGATTTCCTGTCCATACTGAGCACAGAACAGGTATTCCAAAAATAGTGCTGAAGAAAGGAATGAACCAGAGTGTTGCAATGCAGCTGGAGCACTGCATAAATGTCTCTAACCCGGAAGTTACCTCGATGTATTGCTCTCAGCTTGTGTCTGTTTGCTCACTAATCCTCAGATTCCTCTCTCTCTCTGGTCAACTGTTTCCTTTTGAACACATCCTACACACCAACACTGGGCTCCATCCTGGGCTACTTAGCAACTTAGGGAGACCCTGTCTCACTGGAAAAAATAAAAGGGCTGGGGATGGAACTCAGTATGAAGATTGTGGGTTCAATCCTCACTACTTGAAAGAAAGAAAGAAAGAAAGAAAGAAAGAAAGAAAGAAAGAGAGAAAGAAAGAGAGAAAGAAAGGAAGAAAGAATAGTCTAAGGGAGAAGTCCTGAGGGAATCCACTGGTGGGAGAGCTTCCCTGAGGAGGTGAATTTTGGGCTATGATGTGAAGAATCAGCAGACATTAACAGGGTGGAGGGAGGATGGGCAGGTAGTGGATTAGCCAGAGCAAAGGCCCTGAGGCAGGAGGGAGCATAATACTGATAATAACACAACAGCATTATTATTATTATTGTTGTTAGTACCGCTCAGACCCTTGAGTATTTCCTAGGTGCCCAAGAGCTGCAGGGAGCACTTAACTTGAATGGTATGAGTCATTCATTTGAATGCCCTGAGGGGAGAGATTTAACTATAGCAGGCAGCTGTGCCCTGCCTAGATTCTGCCACCCACCCTGGAGGTCCCTGAGGATGGTTTTTGTTTTGGTGGCAGCTTCCTCTGCATTGCTTTGCAAGGTGCATGCTGGATGTGCTGAGGAGTTCATCTCCCCTGCAGGCCCCTTCATAACTGGCTGGTGGGAACTGGAGGACAAATATCGTGCTCCCTCACCCTTGAACAGGTAATACAGGGCTGGCCCTTGAGAGGCACCCTCTCAGAGGCCTGGCGATGCCACCCGGGGCCTGCAGGGGGAGCCCCATCCACTGGCTTTCCCCTGCATTGTCTCTGCCGCTGTGTTTGTGAGATCCCGCTGTGCTTGTGAGATCGCCTCCCACATCAGGTGCTAAACACATGCCTTAGGCTCTGCCTATGGAGGGACCAGAACTAAGACTCTATTAAGTATCCCATTAACTAGATGGGGAAACTGAGGCACAAAACAGTTACCATAGAGTGAGGAAATGAAGAACTGAAAGAAGTTCCTTGACATTAAAAGCATTAAAAATATGTGTGTGGTGTGGTGGAGCGGGGAGGGGGGACAAGATGAGGCCTGTGAGGTGGGCATGAGGGCCAGGGCCAGGGTTGGGTCACTAAGCTAGGGGCACAGGAAGCCTCTGAAAAGCTTTAGGCAGCCGGGTTGATGTCTTCTGATGCTATG